ATTGCTATAATAAAAACAGCTTGGCTAATATTAAAATGGATGAGCCGCTGCTGGTAATACCTGCAACCTCAAATATATGTAAAACTTTTATCAGCACTATTTACTGTAAATCACCTAAAGCGCTCTCAGAATAGATAAAAATGTAATCATATATTTGTGTCTTTCCATTTGAGATGAAGGAATCCATTCACTAGCGCAGTCTCGCTTTCCCAGCCATTATTCAACTACAAAGCAAACCATATTCATCATTGAGTTTTAATCACATCAAAAAGAAATATAGTGCTACCCCAGGGTGCTGGCAGGAATATGGAGTCCTCCATGATGTTATTGTTTCCAGCACTGCCAAACAATCTCAAAAATTGACTTAGAATAAATGTATTTTTAATATGATAACTCAACCCTTGTGAATACAGAGGCACTCTGTCAATTGTTCTTGCTGAATGCGTTGCTTTACAGATGTAATGCGGGAGTGCTTGTGATATAGCGATATTAAACCTGCGAGCGCTGCCTTTCAAACTTTGTTCCGGCTTCCCGGATAACATTCTCTTTCCTTCAGCTTAACTAAATGCTCTAACAGATGAGATGAATGCATTAGTTTACAAAGTCAGTGTGTTGCAGCAAATGCGTCGTGTGTTCCTCGCGGTGTAAAGATGCGCGCTAATCTCATCTCGGATGCACTTTTCGTGCACTTTATATTAATGTGATTTCAGCTCAGTGCTGTTTAAAGAATATACCTACACCAAATAATGTAATCAGACAGAAAGGTACAGATGAACTGATTATGAGTGGAGAAGACTGGGCTATTTGTCTCACATTGGAATCTTGTCAAAATGTCTCGGAGTAGCCTATCACTACGATTTTGATTTGCTTGTTTTCTCAGGGGTTTTTGTCAACACCCTGTGCAAAAGTGCCTTAACTAGAAGGATTTTTGTGAATTTTATCCTCCAGACATCATCATATCATACAATTTTAACATCATATTCACTGTAAACCCAAATAAGTTGGCAAAACTCAAAACATTTGAGGTAATCAGTTAAATCAGGTTTTTTTTAAGTTAGGAAATTCAAAGGTTAAGTAAGCAGAACTGGCAGAATTTTATTTTGTTCTCATACATTGTAATTGCTCTTAGCTTGAAGTATTTGAGTAAGTGAATTTGTATATATTAAATGCAGAGTAGACGATTTGTTCCAGAAACATTTTTTTGTTATGCTGCTTGAAAGTCTCTTCCTATCCTGAAAACAATCACTAACTTAAGTGGTCTAAATGTGTGTGTATTTATATATATATATATATATATATATGATTGGACGAACATTTTATGGTCCTATGCCTTCCACAGATTATAATTTGTGGAAGGCATAGGACCATAAAATATTCGTCCAATCATTGCATTCGAACCGATTGGTTGGACATACATTTTATGGTCCTACGACTTGCATATGATTAAAGTTGAGCCTATACTCAAACCAATGAATTATTTTGAGCATTAGGGTTTACATTTTTGTAATATCATGTGAACTCAGTAAAACACTTGGATATATTACAATATTTTTCAACAGAAAGGCTGAAAAGAAAAGGATGAGTATTTTTCATAAACACCAGGTTGGTGCACATTTTTATTGGGGCAGATTGTCACATGTTTGATTTTTTTTTCCTGTTCTGTTTCTTAATTGCTTTGTTTACATGTTTTCCCTTTAAAGCGTAGGCTATAATAGGCCATTTCATTTCATTGGAATTCACACATTTTCAATGACTTGTTTTTATTGTCAAGACGACCAAAACTATAGCTCCGAACTCCCATGCTTTCATTATATTGCTGACAAACTATATTTCAATTATTAACATGCTACCTTTATTAACAAGGCATTATTATGCTCAAATGAATTCACTTCACACACACACAAAACGAACTGGTATTTCTGCCTATTACAAACAGGGCGTAGGCTATCGTTTCGTGTCTCCAGGTGTACTAAATTATTCACAGTCTTTGATGTAAACAAGCAAACACACAAAGACAATGTGAGATGGCATGTCTTAATTAGCCAATCAGCCGTCAGCCCAGCGTTACCCGCTCGCGAGGCTCTCGCCGGATGTGGCGCGCGACGACGGCGGGCTCGTGGCGTTATTTGCGTGCGAGGACTGCAGTTGCTCTGGGACTCCGAGGCTCCTAATGATGCTTTCAATTAAAGACGAGCCCTGAGGCTGGAGCAGCTGTCTGTTTAAAACGCCTCCTCTCCGAGCCTCCGAGCCGTGCGGGACTGCTTGAGTCAATATTATTTTAGAGACTACCTCCCATCTATTATTAAGTAAATTGAGCCATCAGCGTAACTGGCCATTTTCAACCCTAAATGAAATCTATTTGCCAAAGGCCTGGAGGACTGTCAGTGTGTAATACAATCATACAGCGGAGGGCGTGCTTGTTAGGAGAATGAATGATAACTGCAAGAATAATTCACTCTTAAATGGGAATCACGCTGTTTAGTGCTTCTCAACTACATGTGTTGCTTTAGCACTCAGATTTTACTTTGGACACTAAGTGACCAATATTGCTATATTATACAAAAATGTCCTTAAAATCAAATAACCATAAACTGCATTCACCAAACAATATGCAGAATTACTTATGACATACGCTGAATAGGTTCTTTTATAAATGAATACATTTTGAAGTTGTTTATCTTTTGAATTTTGAGGGTTTCATGCCTTCAACGCCTAATAATGCACATAAAATGCATGTGATCAACACAAACCTGTTTGGTTGCAAGTTATACTTAAATGTAATATTTTTCATGGTTGTCAAAAAAGACACATCACCTGCTTCAATCTGCATAATTGGACTACAGCTTCAACCAAATGACAGATGAATTTGCCACAAATTGCTGATTTGATTGGAAAGTGCATCTTTGACAACACATGGATATATGAGAATCATGCACGATTAAGTTGTCATGTTGTCCTGCTGTTTGAGAACAGATCTGACCTGCGACCCATTTTTGGGCCACGACCCACCAGTTGAGAACCACTCAGTAACCTCTCAATGAGACATAACGATTGGTTTAAATAAAAATAAACATGTATCAATGCACCCCCCAAAAAAGTCAAACATTTAATAAATGCCCGTCATGGTTTAAGTCCAGAAGAGTTGGGTTCATCAACGGCCTGTTAGTGTCTTCTCACTGCAGGAAAGCAGTCCCTCAGACCCCATCGATCGGCTCCAGATCAATGCTTGTAAAAGCCCTACAGCCTTTAGTTAAGAGCGGAAGCGTGCGCTACACAACGCCACACCTGTATTGATCAACAGTGGACCAGCTTTTCACAGATTTGCTCTCACTCTATAAGGACTGTCCACTTTTCATATGACACACTCTTGAAATTAAACCTTCCAAAATGTTTGCCAAAGAAGAAACATGTGAACAGTTCTAAATAGAACCATTTATTTATTTGTGTGAAGAACATTTTAAAAAATCTAAAGAACCGTTTCCCACTCTTGTGGAGTGAGTCCATGTTACAGTTCTTCATGGGAACATCAATGTCATCAAAGAACTCCTCATTTATGTTTAAGAGTGTGGGAATATTAGAAGATATTTTCACAAGAAAATGCATTGTTGTCAGTCCAAGTCTATTTTTGAGAGCAAAAACATGTCTACAAACTTGTTTTGTAGTAAAGTTATCAGGTTTCATATCCCTGAAAACAAAATAAAATCCCTGATGTACAGTATCAGATTTTGATACCTTGCCAGTTGAAGAAATATATTTTACAAAGAAAGAGTAATTCATTAAAAACACGTGACGTTATCAAAACGAGAGCTAGCACAGCATTGCCTCTGCATGTTGAACAGCTGGCAATAACAGAGCTAGATGAAAGATTTATTAGAAATAAGTGTATCAGCTGTGCGCTCAGAACCCATTTTACAGCAATTACTGGGGATATTTTGTGTTTGCACGTCTAGAAAAGAGACGGAAAGAAACTCATCTCCAGCTGGCCTAAAACCCCTTGTAAAGCAATGAAAGGACAAAATGACTGCGTTGAATGTGACATTGGTCACAAGATGATTGGATAGTTTGGACGGAGCTTCTTCAGTTACAAAGCTTTGAATTCACTGAATTGTGAAATAGCATTGCGCCAAGTATAAATATACACCCTAACTTAGAATTTACTGGAGGGATTAGAGAGCTTTTCAAGTCCTCGCTGCCTCTTTTCATGGTTTTGTGTACAAAAGCGTTGTATTCCCCCTGTAAGCCACGGGCCTGAGTCGCTTCTCTGATGTTTGTTGATGTCGGACTGCAGGAATGAGGAATCTCTGCTAATCCTGTCATTCTTGCAAAGAGTTTACTAAATTTTGAATTTACACATTTAATGCCTTTTAAAATGGTCTTTGAACATTTTCAGCCCCTCGCTCGTTCCGCATCGCAGGATAAAAGCAACACACTTTTCATGAGAAGATGCTTTATGGAGCATAAATTTAATATCTCCTCCACTTAAGAGTACTGTCCCATAATCCCCCTGCAATAAATGTTGACTTGTGCTATTTAAATGTACAATTTATCCTGTGTATTATGCCTGCAGGAGGCGACGGCTACGGTTGTTGAGTGTTTTCTGGGAGTCCATGTAGGTGTAGCACAGTTGAGAGCAAATCAGGAAGGCACTGCACACCATTCTGTGAAGAACAGATGATAGAATAATCCGCAAGGGGTCAGAATATGATGATATGAAGAATAGCTTGGCTAAAAAAAAAAAAAAAATGCAGCTACTAAATGTTCTTGACTGATGTCTTCAGAGAATGTCATGATAATGGACCTGATGCCAACCCTGTATAGTTCCTCTTCTGTTCCATATAAAAACACCTCACATTTCTATTTCAAAATCTCTTCATATAATGGGTGTGATTTATGTGTTTAAAGTTTCAAGAGAACATATGCATAATTTACTAGGCACAAATAAAATACCACTGCTGCATTAATATGCATTAGTAAATTTGCTTGAAAAAAGATTTTTCCCCCTAGATATGATTTAGCAAAATGGCACATGATCAAAGTTTGTAATGTGCAAAGATCCGTTAAAACAATAATTGAACTCATTTTAACAGCTGATTGAGATTACAAAAATCTTTTAAATTAGTACTTTGGCCTCTTGCACAAATATTTTACAATAGATATGTAAAGAAAAAAAAATATTTCAATACCATTTCCTTTTTAAATATTAAAAAAATGCTTTATCGGAGATTTTCATTTGCCCTTCGTCACACACTGACAACTCCCGTTGAAACCAGAAATGATGTAGCCTATAATAAACAGCCAGCACTACACATTCGGCCTCCGGTGCTGAAACGTGAGATCTGTGCTCGTGTCCTGCGTCAGTTTGCTGTCTCTCGCTCTGTGTAACGCAGTCTGGTTAATCCCGTTCAGAAGCGTTGAGTTTGACGCGGAGCCGTTCAGCGCTCCGAACGCGCCGTAGTTCGTGAATCCCGCGTAGAACGGAGACGTGTAGTAGAAACGCGTGGGGGGGAACAGGCACTGCGCGGGGGACCCGGCGGGCGACGACGCGTCGGCTCGCTTATCCGAGGTAGCGATTTCAGCGAGAGACCACAGCTTGGGTTTAGGGGTCGGGATCGCAGAATGAATGACAGAGGTGGCGTTGCAGTTCTCACTGACGGCCGTCTTGCTTTCACTCAGCTCGTTTTGGGGAGAGGAGGTCGTGGGCACCGGAGACTCAGAGACTGTCCGATTCTCCTCTTCCTCACAGTCGATGATGACGCTATCCGTCGCGTCGTCGCGATCTCCCGCGCGTTCGTCGCCAACTGCGGTGGAATGACAAAAGGCTTGTTAGAAAGTGCGTTTATATTATAAATAACACAAAACAACAACAACAGATGCTATTCCCCCCCCCCCCCCCCCCCCCCCCCCCCGGAATCAATCGAGTTATTAAAAATAGGCTACAATAAAAAGTATGTTGTAAATATTTTTGTGAGACTTTAAAAGGGAGGTAAAGATTTATGTGAAGGCAAAAAAAACATAGGCCTAAAACTTGTCAGGAAAAAAAGTGTCATTAAAAGCCTGCAAATCTATTTTTTTATTTGTTTTGTATTAAAATATTGTTATTGTAGCCTATAGGCTATTAGGCCAAGGCTATAAATATTCAATATGAATTGTTAGCTACTAAACGTGTGTCCGCCAAATCGAAGACAATGTGATTTAACCACACCGAGATTAGTCTGTCATCGCGTGACAAGAAAACAAGAGGAAGAAATAAAACAGGAAATTGTATTTTACAGAGAACTCCTGTAGACCCTCATGACTGTTTGTCAAGGTCGTTGTTTATTCATGTTTAAAACATTTAGAATTGTTCATGAAAAGGCACTAAATATCAAAACGTAGCCTATTATTCATGACCAACAAGTTCCAGAAGTGTATTATTATAATGATTGAAAATAATGATTAATCTCTCATTAAAATAATGAATTGCACTCATGTGCATTCATGCATGGTGCAATACGTGTATTTCCTTTTTTACTTGATGGTTAAACCACAAAAATATGTCACCTTGTCATCTCATACAACCTTATTTGTCACTGACATATGTTCAAAAATAATATTTCATTTTTTATACGAAATATAATAACAATACAACCACGCGCACATAAGAATGGGGGAATGAACACCTGCATCTTTGGTCGTCTGTGTTGTTTCGGCTGTTTTGAGCGGTTCATCGTCTTCATCATTTTTCTCTAAATCAATACTATCCTCCTCATCTTCATCCTCACTCCTGTTCCGTGGCGTCCACGTCATTTTGTTCTCTTTCTTCAGCCTCCTCCGGGCGTTGGCGAACCAGGTGGACACCTGAGTGAGGGTCATTTTAGTGATGATGGCCAGCATGATCTTCTCGCCCTTGGTGGGATAAGGGTTTTTCCTGTGTTCGCTGAGCCAGGCCTTCAGGGTGGCGGTGGCGTCGCGCGTCGCGTTCTTCCGGTACGCGGGGTCTCCGAACGGGTACGCGCCCAGGGGACCGGCGTACGGGTGATAGCCGATGGAGCCCGCCATGCCCGGAGAAGACTCATATGGGGAGCCCTGGGCAAGGAAATTCATAAAGATTACACTCGAGGAGGAAAGCACAGCAGACTCTCTGTCTGAAGATCTGTGTGTTTAGACTTTTCTACTGTTAAAATGTGACATTCTTCTGGAATATTGTCCGAACGTGTTAAAAATGAACTTAATCACACTGAAAAGATTTATCACACAATGATCTGAAGCATGTTGATATGAAAGCTTCCCAGTAAGCAAAACTAAATGAAAACAATTAATATTCTGAATGTAAATTCCGCATTAATGCACACTATTCGTTAACTATATTTTGAAGGGTTTTGTTTACTGCGTTCCCAATGAAAGTTTAAAGTGCAAAAACAAATGTAAACTAATTAATCTACTTTGATATATGGTAAAAAAAAAAAAAAAAAAAAATTCGGCGTCGTCAAAAAAAAACTTTATAGATAGCTACATGTTTAAGTGCACTACAGGCAAAAAAACAAGGTGAAATCGAGCCTATAATTAGCCTATAATAAAAAGTTTTAACTGTAGGCACTGGAATGCATAATCATAAACAATAAAAAAAGCCTGCTGAAATATCTTCTGACTGCTGCTATATATCCCCGACTGCTGAAATATCATAGTCAAACATGTCTTTATTGAAGTAAACTCACCCCGTATGAAGTGAAGGGGGCGGTGGACTCGGGACTGTACTGGAGGGAGTTGAAGAGTGCAGTGTTTGTGAAGGATGAGGACGCGTACGGGGCGAAGGCGGATCCGCTAGAGGAGCGTCCCAGATCATCAGCCCGCGCTCCCGGGACCGCGCCGGGGCCGTACGGGGGACACGAGTACAGAGACAGTGAAGACTGGTACAAGTATCCCTGTGGAAACGCCATGACCAGATCACTGCCACAGTCTCCTCACGAGCCCGAGAGCCAACACACTCATCCTATGAGCCATCGAGGGGGAAACGAATCAAAGATGCAAAGCGGGTCGACTCCTGATATAAAGAGCAGCGAGCAGAGAAGTGTCTTCGGTTACCGGCAGAAGAGTCTCGAGGTCCGCGCGCTTCCTCAAGGAGAGGGAAAGAAAAGCTCAAGCTGAGTTTCCTCTCTCTCTCTCTCTCTCTCTCTCTCTCTCTCTCTCTCTCTCTCTCTCTCTCTCTCTCTCTCTCTCTCTCTCTCTCTCTCTCTCTCTCTCTCTCTCTCTCTCTCCAATGCCTCAAGCGCAAGTTTGGTTGCTACGCATCTTTTTTCAACATCTCAAGTAGCCTATGATATAAAGTTAAAAACATAAGTGCAGTTCACTCAGGACACATTCTTGAAGCCGTTCGTTGTTAATCATTTTTTTAACATCTAAGTAAAGTGAACTTTCTGTTTTTTAGCACATGCCATAACAGGATAAAATTCACTTTGTAAAAATGTTTCGGGACATATGCGAATAAGATGCACCGGGGTAAAAAGATGCACCGGGGCTAAAGATGCACCGGGGCTAAAGATGCACCGGGGTTAAAGATGCACTGGGGCAAATGATGCACCGGGGTAAAAGGCTCCTTGGTTTGATTTCCTCTAAACCACTAGATGGCAGAACAACTTTCCCAAACACCCGCTTTTCAAGACGCTGATTCTGCGCTAATTTGATCTAATATTTTATGTTTTTTAAAAATGTTGTAGATTTAACTAGCTAAAATTGCTAAAATCGCTAAAATTGACTATATTTTGAGACAAATGTCTTGTTAATGATTTTAAGTTTTTTTGCAAGCTAATTAAAGTTTTTTTTTTCAATAACGGAAGAATCCTAAAAGTATTTCTGCTGTATCGACAGACTGTTGCTGTCATTTCAGATTCAGATGGAAAATATCATGTATTATATAAATAAGTTCTGTGTCCACCTTAGAGATAATCATCATATCTATAATGAAACCATCATATTTAAAAAAAATATGATATTAATCATCATTTAATAAAATATGATTTAATGTTACTACTGTAAATCTAAATTAAATTATTATGGGATCTCATTCAATGCTTCCAGAATCATTACTTTTGACAATAATTTAGTTTTTGTATTTTTAAAATATATTTTTATATTAACATATTTTAACGACAGTATAGTTATTGAATAAAAATGAATTCTTTTATTTATCAAAATAAACAGAAAATAGTGCAGACTTTGCTAAAGTGATTGTTTTGAACAAGTAGGCTATTAACTTAGACATTATTAAAAACATATTTTAGCTAAAGAATTTGTATAAATTGGCTAGTGTGTCTTTTGGCCCATGCTGGTTTCACCCGTGTGTATGTGGAGTAAAAGGCCCACCTTACAATCTCATATATTTATAAGATTTTTTTTAAACAAAATAATCCACTTTTATGATTTATTTAAAAAAAAAAATCTGTTGCTCAATAAATGTTCCATACATATTTTGTTCTGCAATCATACACAGGTGAGCCTTTAGCACAGTTGTACCCTGCTGGTCCATTCTGCTGCGCCAACTGGTTTTGAAATCACTATATGAACGGTTCAGAATAATAATAATAATAATAATAAACGGCCTCAAAGCTTCCGTGCGTTCCGTTGAACTATTCTTGGACTCGTATGAACGCATAGAGCATGCTATTATTAGGCTATATAGCGACTTATTTTCCATAACATAGCCAAGGTACCTATTGCTATAAAAAAAAATAGGCCTATAGGCTATATAGCTATATTATTTCTTTAGCAAATGTAGCAAATGATTTGTATTTTACTTCATTTTTAGATTAGTCCTATTACGTGTTTTATTCTGTAGTTTACGGTGTTAAACAGAATTCTGTGCCATCGAATATATGTGATCGTGCTGTCGTCATCATAATCCCAACAGTAACCATAACATATGGCTATATGCCCTATATACGGTGGGTCACAGAATTCGGTGTAACGCCGGTGTTGTGCCGAAATGAGAACAAAAAAAGAAATCATTTCACTATGCAAACTCAACTAGGTACGCTTTATAAGTAATATTCTGGAGTGCGCATCGAATGTTATGTGTGTTTACGGTGTTTACACTGTCTGGAAGCAACGCAATTGAGGCGCCGCGGCCAAACAACAGGCTATAGGCCCACTACTGCTAATAAACATGTCTTTCCTGTTGTTACTGTACTCTTTCCAATGCGCTCACTCTTCTGGTTATATTCGCTACCCCGCGCCTGCAGTGTCGCGCGCTCGGTGTGTCGCGCGCTCGATGTGTCGCGTCGCGTTCAGTTCAGTAGAGGACGCAGGTGAGGTAATCCTCTGAGCGCGAGATCCTCTGACATCATGCGCTCAGGAATCCCTGCACTGTTAACATGACTTCCACGAACCCGACTCAGGCGGACCGGGAATGTTGCGACCTCTCGACCGAAGATGGAGGAACACATGATTCTCCTCACACTACACACGAGCGAGCTGACACACAGCCTGCTGGAACAGGTAAAGAAGCACCTGGAACCGCGCTTATAGTGGTGCTCGGCCAGGGTATTATTAGCCTATACACATCTTCTCTTATCTAGACACCTCTCAACAAAACATAACGGTATCGCTTGAATTCAATGAACAATGTAAACATGCAGAGAGGTGACTAATCTCATTTGCGAGCTCTATTAATAGACTCAAGCGCTTAATGCAGCACTGCTCTGTGTCTGAAGCCCATAAAGCAGGGTTTCATTAAAGTATAATTCATGCATCAAGCCCTTTATAATGCATTATAGTTCCATAAATAATTGTAACCACAAATTTATGGTTACAATAATGCATTATAACACTTGACATACCACATGAAACTGGGTGTTGATGCATTTAGTCTTTTTATATAACTATAGGTTAGTATTATTGGTTGCAATCATTCATGAGAACATACAACTGATTATAGTACGAATGCATTCTAGTTACTTACAGGCACACACACACACACACACACACACACACACACACACACACACACACACACACACACACACACACACACACACACACACACACACACACACACACACACACACACACACACAGAGAGAGAGAGAGAGAGCATTGCCATAATCATTTAAATGCCTGATAAAGTGAGACTGGAACAGCTGTAGATCAGTTGACCTGCAAAATACTTTCTCTGTTGGAACATTTAAACATTTTATTATCCCCAAATGTGTCTATTTTACACTGACACTCAGCAGTTTTAATCTTTTTTGTTTTAAATTTTTTATCTAGATGCCAGTTCCATGGACCAACAAAGACCTGCTTTTGCAGTCGAGGAAAAGGTAAGCTCAACAGACACAAGAATTGACAAGATAGTCTAAAAAAAGCCAAATATGTGTTAGTGTGCAATATGCAATTATATGCACATTTACACTATATATAGCATAAGATAATACACTCCTCTTTCCAACACCACAACGTCTGGCTTCAGTTTGTTTTGCAGCCCCAAACCATTCGACAGCCGATGAACCTCTAAAGTGTTACGCTTATCATTCATTTGAAACATCTCTCCCCGGAGAGTGTGATATATGATTTACCTACAGAGATCCATGGTTTCTGAACTTTAAAAACAACGATTCCCTGAAAGTAAATGGACAACCTACATGAAATGAAAACTACACTGTAAAAAAGGCCAAGAAAGGTAAAACTTTACATATAACATCCAAATGAATCGTATTAGTTAAAAGTGCAAAATATGATTTAATATGATTCAAACGTACTACGTCGGGTTAGACCAACACAAGTAATGGATCAGATCAGGTAGAAATAGCTGCACATTTTCACTTTTCACAGTGTATAATCGTTTGTCTCGGAAGATTATACTTTTATTCAGAAGCAGTCAATAACTCCAGTGGCTATAAATGAACATTGATTGAGGATTATGGTGCATGAATAATGCTCTCTTTCCACAAACATTATCAGATTTGATGCATCACAGTCAGGTTTATGGTGATATGACTTCATTAAGCAGTTGCTTTGCTCATAAAGAGTCTGTTGAATGTATTCTTGCCTGTATACATTTAGTGTTATCTACACTAAATAAAAATAAGTTTGTCCTAACAATGATATACGGTTGAGTATAGTGTTAAAAAGTCAACCTGTCCCTGTAGTCGTGCGAGTAATAGTGCCTGTTTTAGACAAACTTTGCTCAAGCCGTGTTATAAATATCTGTGTTCACCAATTGCTTGTTAATACTGAATTCCTTTTTCCATTCTTCAGGGAATTCCTCAGCTTACCTGAGCTTTAATACTAGCAAAGATTAGCCCTGTCCCGCTTGTTTCTGTATGCCCTGGACGTTTATCCTGTAAGGTTGTTGTTGTTTGGGGACTCGTGTCATTTCCTCTTTGCTGTCCTTTTGCCGCTCCTTGCTGAATGAACCCTTACGGGAACGCTGTGTTTAGAGCCCAGGTGGACTCTGTGGCTTTGAGCTTCGCAGTATTCAGGCGCTGTTGTGGATATCACGTATCTGTAGATGGAAATGAACACTGGATTAACTAAAGTGTCCACAGCAGCTGCAGACTGGACATTGTGACACATTTATTTCAGTGCCTTGTCATCATGGTATAACAACGGGTCTAATTTCTCTGTTTATTGCTCACTGCTCTAATAAGCTTTACAGAACTTTAAGAAAGTTTTTTTGAAGTACTCTTTGGCTAAAATGTGTTGTTTTTTTGCTTATTCAAGAAAAGTTCCCGAGTTTAGTAGAAGTTAAGCTCGTCTGTGACCAGTGTTGGGGAAAGTTCATTTTAAAAGTACTGTGATACAATATTGTTTTTCTCTCTAAAAAAGTAACTAATTCCATTACTTTACTTACTTTTTATGGAAAGTAATGCGGTACGTTACTTTTGCATCACTTTGTCCTCACCTAATAACATAAAAAAGGACACAGGAGAAGAAAGATCAACACATTACTTCAGCAATAAAAAAAAAGAAAAGAAACTAATGTGATGCTTATCTAAGTCACTTATGCTTGATTAGCATGGTTGAATTGGATCATCAAAGGTCAGCATCAAAGGTTAATAAAGTGAGATTAAATGCATAAAGTATATTTGTGTTATTTATCATATTTAATTGTTAAAGGTTTGCGTAAATATTCGGAGGTTGCATCTCACTGTTTTTATTAATTTTGAGGAATACTGAATCTGTTTTGTGCAAGTGAGATGAGTAAATGCATGTTCACATTTGGGGCTAGATTGGGGCCAACTCTTCTGCACAAAGGAGTGGACAGGGTTAGTTTTGCAGCTGATCTTATTGCATATATGCATTTGTAGGAGTTTCCCTTTCTGACACAACATTTATGAGAGGAGAATATTTAAATGAATCATGCATGCAAGGAGATTTACTAAGGTTTGCTCTAGTCAATTCCAGGGTTCTCAAGTTTTATCAAAAGCTTGGAGTGAGATCACATGCGGTTAGGGGAGGGGCCTAAATGGAGCCCCGCCCCTGCCTATCCCTGCCCCCAATTTTACCCATTGTTCATAATTAACCAGCAAAAATTAGAAATTATAACAATTGGTAAATCTGATAAATGACAGAGCAATTCATCACATCAAATATAGGCCTACTCTTTAATGTTATATTTCAAAATTAGGCTACAAATATATAACAAATTGCTCCAAAATGTGTGGAAAAACTAATATTTTTGCATTTTTCCCTGGCATCTTTGAAAAAATACAAATGCAATGGCAATGATTAGGCTAATGTATGTTTTGACAGGATATACAATATTACCAAGAGCACTCTGCTTTAGCCGTAATGTAACTAGAAATACTATTAATACAGTATAATATAGAATTTAAAATAAACTGAAGAAATACATCTTCATTCCTTCCCATACCCAATAACATTTCCTTAGCCAAACTGAGCCAAAGCTTTTGGCTTGGTTGCAAAGCAGTTGTAGAGTTTTTGACTGCATCAATAATACGATGGGCTATATATTAAATGTTCTAGTCTAAAAATGTTAGGCGAGCTTTCTTCCAACTTTTTCTTCTCCATCACGACGTGTGTTCGCGCGATGTCGCGGTGGCCGAACTTCCGTGTGTGTTCGCGGACTTCGCGCGTCTATAAGTTGCCTATAGTAACGAACGCAATCTGGCCGAGAGATACGTGCTGGCGGCAGGAAACTTATCTTTGTGTGCATGCGCCTCGTATACAACGTTATATATAAAGCTTGCAGGACAACTCGGTTGGCATTGCCTTTTCAGCGTGAGATATACACGGTGTGGCGTGTGAGCGTGTGAACTGGTTGAATTGCGTGTGTCTCACGGCCAATGCGTGAGACTTGAGAACCCTGCAATTCACTGATATTTGCGCCATTATTTAACGTCCCTAAAAAAGCATCAAACCAGATGCTAATACGCTTTGTTTGCTCATTTTGCTCTAGTGTTGGTCATTATTATGGAAATGATCCTGCTGTGTTCTTTAATTTGCGCATTGTGAGTAGATCACACGCAAGACTTTCCACTTTTATGGAATTGGTTTTATGTAAATTGAATTAAATTGATCTTTTAGCAATGGGACTACTATCTAGGCAGATGAATATCTAGTCAGGTGTTACCTGTGTAATTCACATGGGCCCCATTCTTCTTCTTTTGCGCATCAAAAGTTTAGGTCCCTGAGTCCGAAATTCTCGTCCGAAATTTCGCACGTTAAAAAATAAATACGACCTCATGTTGCGTCAATCACGTTTACACACGGCCTCCGAAACTTTCGTCCGTCATAAAAAAAATTAGATTCTGTATTTTTTGCATCCGTAGCGAGCATTTTGAGAGGTGTTTTGACAATTCAGAGCCACCGAATGACAAAAAAAATAAAACGCATACGAAATTTTCGGACAGTGTGCAATGACCTTTAGACTTTGCATGGTCATGACAGGAGTTGAACTTTAGCTTTGGACAGACAAGGTTAGCTAGCAATTTTATCACATCATTCTCATGTCAACATGAATAAGTCATGTGGTTATCCTGCGGTCACACAAAGCAATGTTTGGTCTACATTTCATTCAGATAGATGTCCTGTTATCCCAACACTGAATCTTCAGATTAATTAGATTCCTGTCAACATTACTTCATTGCACAAGTATTCAGAAACATCAAATGCTTTACATTTTCTTCAGTCCAAGACGAATCAGTCATTGTCCAGACAGGGCCAAAGTACAAGCGGACACATGCACACAGCGTTTCTTAATTAATTGCAAAAGGCTTGGATTACACATCCGACCATTATGTATAGGAAAACAATTCCTAGCCAGTTACCAATCCGTGTGTAATGAATACCCATTGGACCTGACTGTTTAAACCAACTTGAATGGGGGGACATTTTACTGAGACATTCTTGTCTAATGAAAGACATGACATGCCAGTGGAAATGGAGGCAAGAACAGCTGTGACATGTGGAAAGCATGCTGGGATATTTTAATGTGACGTCTCATTGAAGGAAGCTATGGCGCTTATCTGGTTGATTTCCAGTTTTCTGGCATGTGGGAAAAATCGAAAACATTTTGGGTGAGGGTTTTGTTTCAGAAAGGAATGGATGTGCAAATAAAAATTGAACTCATTTTTTCACAAAAAAGTAAATCGTTACAAGGCTCAACACGAAGTGTAGCACTGAAATATAAATGGCCACCCCTGAGGTCTTAATGAACATGACCGCTGCTATAAATGATGACACAAAGTCCACTGGGATTTCTCTTTCCAAATGAAGTGTAGTGGAGGTTGAGTGTGGACTGAAGTCTGACAGATGAACTGTGGTTAATGGCCACTTCCAGAGAGGTCTCATCTCCACTGGGCCGTGTACACGCATCAGCAGGTGACTAAAACAGCCACTGCACTTGTCAAACTGTCACATTACAGGCTAATGAAGAGTAATCATGCCGGCGTTGAGTGAAATGTTATTCCTCAGCTAAAGGGTATTTGTGCTTGTCAACCCGTTTTAGATTAGCACAAAAAACGGCACATGATGCTGTTACGGTGACGATAAGAGGAAGTTAGTGTGGTAATATTCGTTTAATGATGGTTTGGTGTGACTTGAGCAATAAATATGCCAGAATGGGTAACACGGTTGCATATTTAGATTGAATTAAGCTACAGTATCACTCAGTAGAGGATAGACAGTTTGCTACCAAATGTTGGTTTGTACTGATAAACATATATAATGTACTGTGTGGTGAGCAGGACGGCCGAGGGACGTGAGAGAACGTCGCGAGGCCGGTGGTGCGATTGCTAATGAGCAGCACCTGTGAAGCACACCGGTCTCGCATCTCTCACGGAGGAGCGGAAGCATAAAGGAGGAGCGACGGAGTGGATGATCGAGAGAGGAACAGGCCTGCTTTTGTTTGTATTTTGTTATATTTTATTTTGGTAGCCAGCAGTCGTCCGTGAGGGGCTGCTGGCCGGTATTTATATTTTATTTTCGGTAGCCAGCAGTTCCGTGAGGGACTGCTGGCAGGTATTTTGTTTGTTTATTTCATTTAAATAAAGTTTTATTTGATTGTTCTCCGGTTCCCGCCTCCTTCTTCCCTGAACCTTGCTACATACTGTATGTCATGATTATATGGAATGTTGCATGAGGTACATAATATGTTTACTATAATTTAGGATGTGCTCACACCAGGTTTGGTTGATTAAAACAAACTCTGGTGCGATTTCTCTGTTAGTGTGGTTCATTTGTATAAGTGTGAACTCTGCCATCCGAACCCTGTGTGCACCAAACAAGCGGACACAGGGTGTGTTCACACTTGTTGTTCAGTTCGCTTGTTTCGTTTGGTCTGGACCAAAAAAAAAAAAAACATTTAGTCCTGGTCTGTGTAGCGTTCACATTGACATTTGTTTTTTATGCGTAGCTACATATGATGGTGTTTTAACCAACTGAGAAGAACTTGTGAAGAGCTTATAAAACGTGTAAAGGAGTCAAAACAGCGGCAGGAATCCCTCCGTCACACAAATGAAGATCTGCGAGGAGATGCGGTTCTGATGCCTGTACTGAACTGTGATGGGCAACATCCCGACGAGAAAAAAACAGATTTGCTTGAGCATTCTGTCCTTTTTAGTGTCACATCTTGTGACATCATGTCCAGTTTTTGGTTTGTTTACATGCCGACTGCACCAGAGTTCGTTTGGATTGGATTTGGTGCGCACCAGGTATGGTAGCGTTTACACATATTCAAATGAACCGCACTAAACAGAGCAATCGCACCAGGGTTCGTTTTAATGATGTAAAGTTCGGGAGGAACATGTTCAAATTATCTTTCCAATCAGCATGAGCAAAGGCCTATATACACTGAACAAAATTATAAACGCAACACTTTTGTTTTTGCCCCCATTTTTCATGAGCTGAACTCAAAGATCTAAGACTTTTTCTATGTACACACAAATATTGTTCACAAATCTGTCTAAATCTGTGTTAGTGAGCACTTCTCCTTTGCCGAGATAATTCATCCACCTCACAGGTGCGGCATATCAAGATGCTGATTAGACAGCATGATTATTGCACAGGTGTGCCTTAGGCTGGCCACAATAAAAGGCCACTCTAAAATGTGCAGTTTTATCACAGCACAATGCCACAGATGTGGCAAATTTTGAGGGAGTGTGCAATTGGCATGCTGACTGCAGGAATGTCCACCATAGCTATTGCCCGTGAATTGAATGTTCATTTTTCTACCATAAGCCGTCTCCAAAGGCGTTTCAGAGAATTTGGCAGTACATCCAACCGGCCTCACAACCGCAGACTACGTGTAACCACACCAGCCCAGGACCTCCACATCCAGCATCTTCACCTCCAAGATCATCTGAGGCAGCCACCCGGACAGCTGCTGCAACAATCGGTTTGCATAACCAAAGAACTTCTGCACAAACTGTCAGAAACCATCTCGGGAAAACTCATCTGCATTCTCGTCATCCTCATCGGGGTCTCGACCTGACTGCAGTTCGTCGTCGTAACCGACTTGAGTGGGAAAATGCTCACATTCGATGGCGTCTGGCACTTTGGAGAGGTGTTCTCTTCACGGATGAATCCCGGTTTTCACTGTACAGGGCAGACAGCGTGTATGGCGTCGTGTGGGTGAGCGGTTTGCTGATGTCAACGTTGTGGATCGAGTGGCCCATGGTGGCGGTGGGGTTATGGTATGGGCAGGTGTATGTTATGGACAACGAACACAGGTGCATTTTATTGATGGCATTTTGAATGCACAGAGATACCGTGACGAGATCCTGAGGCCCATTGTTGTGCCATTCATCCACGTCCATCACCTCATGTTGCAGCATGATAATGCATGGCCCCATGTTGCAAGGATATCCAGTTCCTGCCAATATCCAGCAACTTCGCACAGCCATTGAAGAGGAGTGGACCAACATCCCACAGGCCACAATCAACAACCTGATCAACTCTATGCGAAGGAGATGTGTTGCACTGCGTGAGGCAAATGCCCCCCAAACCCCCCCCCCCAACAACACACACACATTTTAGAGTGGCCTTTTATAGTGGCCAGCCTAAGGCACACCTGTGCAATAATCATGCTGTCTAATCAGCATCTTGATATGCCACACCTGTGAAGTGGATGGATTATCTCGCAAAGCAGAAGTGCTCACTAACACAGATTTAGATAGATTTGTGAACAATATTTGAGAGAAATAGGCCCTTTTGTGTACATAGAAAAAGTCTTAGATCTTTGAGTTCAGCTCATGAAAAATGGGGGGTAACAAAAGTGTTGCGTTTATAATTTTGTTCAGTGTACATAGCCGACTCACCTATGTTCCTCGACTGTTTTCTGCATCCCTCCACCACCCCGTCTCCTCACTCTCGCCTGGTTTCTATCCCAGCCAGGGATACGGGGGGAGTACTCTGGGTTCGTGTCAAATACCGAATTCGGAGCCTCCCCTCGGACAGCACGCCAAATACACTTACTCTTTACTCTATATGATTATTTGTATGTGTGAACACATCCACAGATGCACATTTTCAGGGGTCTCTGTCCCCTTCCAATTTAACTCAGATACGGTTCGACTGAAATATGAACGCAACACGGACCAAAGACATGTAAACGAACCAAAAACAGGACATGATGTCACAAGATGCGACCCTAAAAAGGATAGAATGCTCGAGCAAACCTGTTTTTTCTCATCATAGTCTCGATGATGCCCATCACAGTTTAGTACAGGGATCAGAACCGCGTCTCCTCGCATCAGACCTGTGTAACAGAGGAATTTTCTAAACTGGTCAAAATACCATCATATGTAGCTTCGCACTTACAACAAGCACATTTATCCCAGCACACAGCATTGGTTTGGATGTTCGGTAAGTTCCATTGCAAATTACACGTCATAAAATACTTTTTTCTATCTTTCGTTTGGTGTTAAAAATGTCAGTGTGAATGTTAAGTGAAAAAGGACTAAATGTCAAAATCTTTTTCTTTTTCTCTTGGTCCGGACCAAAAGAACCAAGATAACCGAACTAAAAGTGTGAACACACTATATATAATATAGAATATTATAATTGTGCCTTTATTGCTTTCAAAAAGTCACGGAAGAGCACATTGTACCTTGGAATGAATTAACTGTTTTAAGGCAGGACACTATTTGTTAAGTGGTCACATTAAAAATAACCAATCCAATTATCCAATAAAATGGCCAAACTTATAAAAATGTATTAAAAAAAAAACCCTAAAGGTCAACAGAGGATCGTAATTGTAGCGGTTGGTTGGTTATAATTAGTTGGTTAGTAATTAATAGGCACATTTTTCAGGTCACCTGACCAAACATTTTCTACAGTTTGTGAGCAGCCCTTACTTGAATGCAAAATGGATTTCTCTGAACTGGCCAGTGATTTATTGCATAGAAATAACATCATATTGACATTTAATTAAATGGCATATCATGTAAATAATTTGACTAGCTTTTTGGAAGAACTGACAGATCTAAAAATGTATGTGTTATTTTCTGTATTTTTAGGAGCCTGAGTTTTCAACGCATGAGTTCATCCCATCGTCTTTAGGATCAGAGCAGCACATTTGTGAGTTAAAACATCTCACCCGAGACGGACTAGAGCCAGACCTCGAGACCCCCCTTCCAGCACCAGCTCTGGCCTTCACAGATGAGTCCTCAGCCAGTCAAAGCCACAGTCACGGGCACGATCCTACTGAACAAGAAGCTGAACAGATCCTGAAGAACGAGGGGTTTGATCAGGAAGAACTAAAGCAAGATCATGAGAACCGCATGACACAGAGAAGATATGATCTAGAGGAAGAAACGCCAGCTGTGGTGGTGACCCAACCAGATGAGGTGAGTGGAGACCAGAACGTCTTACACAACCAGTATGGCCATGTTTACACCTGGTATCAAGATGCGTTTTGGTCGATCGGATCACAAGTAGACGAGGGAGACACATTCCCGTTTACACCTGTATTTTAATCCGTCTCTTTTGTCCACTTTCAACCACTTCTGTCCTGATTTCTATGAGGGGAGGGTCTATGTATGTATATGTATGGTTTTTCAGAACTTTTGATCTAATGGACAAAATAAGCTCACGCAATTTACATATGAACGCGACCAGAGACGACGGGAAACATACGGAGAGCATCAGCTTTAGTTTCTGCTCTGAGAGCCGCAAGACCAGCCGAACGCTGTGAGTGTGTGTTAGAAAGCATGAATGACGAGAGAACATTGTGATTGGTACATTTTTCATCTTTAAACCAAACTTGGGTCTCCAGCCGACACAGTTTAAATCCTGTCTGACTTGAGTGCTTCCCATAAAGTTCACGCATTAGGTCAGTAGGCCTATTTGAACACATTTGACCACATGAGCGTTTACACTACAAAAGCAATCGGGTCAAATGTGTTTTTAACTACCTCTGAAAGTGGTCCAAAGTGGACAAGCTCAAAACGTTTTAGACCCAGTTTACGCCTTTTTAACATCGTCCACTTGTGATCCGATCGATCCAAAACGCATCTTAATACCAGGTGTAAACAGGGCTCTTGTCACAGTGCAATTAATCATTTAAGTATTGAGTAATATTAAATATCAACATGTACTTATTATAGGGTTCGGGTTTGCTTTAGTTTGCATAATTTAAAGTTATTACTGTGAGCTGTCTAGCAAGATTAAGATTTTCTGGGAAAACCACATAAATGTTAGCCTATTTCTCACACAAAGCTATATTATAAGTTTTAATGCACAAGTTGTAATAAACTAATTATTATTAAAATCACTGAGACCTCAATTTGCAATTATAAAGAGAAAATAGGTCATCACAAACATTATGCTTATATTATTATCATCTGATAACCACACCAAAAAATGTCCATTAACAACAAATTGAACAAATGACACCTGACTGTACTTAATAAACTACTTTATATTTTGTTTATTCTTGCGATTAGTATTCATATTTAGTGTGAATCTTCTGTGTTTTTCTCCTCGGTCTCTTTGTTCTGCTGTGTACAGTCGAGTCTCGCTCTCACATACAGTGTTTGTTCTTTGTGTAAATGTTATCTCTGATCATGCAGTGCGTTTTATCTCGCAAATGAAACAGTTCTCATGATAAGGTCTACATTTCTTTCATTTTATGCATGCAAATTATCAATTTACTTCTTAGATGGGTGCTGGTTTTACAGCTGTGGTTGTACCAAGATTTCACTCAGACAACTGGAAGTTCAGGGAATGTCGAACTTACAAGCTTTGAAAATGTTAAGAGAACAAGCAAAAAATAATAAAATAAAGGTAATTTATTCGCCACTAACAAGACCAAACCAAACATAATATTTATAACAGGCTTCTGAAACATTTCAGCTCTGCTCCCCGTCCCTCATTGATCAGGGAGCTAAAAGTGAAAATGAAATCAAATTCTGCTTAATTATTCAGTATTAAAGATTATTTACTATTAAAGATTTCTTTTTTTCTGTACAATAAACTAAATACAATTTTAATGCACACTCCGGATCATATTCTTCCAAAATGTCCAAACATTTTAATACATTTCCACCGCCTCTCATGTCGTTTCGTAACAGTTCTGTTTAGTTTCAGTGTGTTTTAGATCGGTTCTCCCTGCGCTCAATTGCCTGTGTTCTTGATCCTTGTTTTTTTTCCTATCGTTTTGGTTGTTAATTATTTCTACACCTGTTTTGTTTTCCATTGATTACTCTCCCTATGTATTTAAACCCTTAGTTCTTTATCTTTCGATAACATTAAGTTGTAAGTGTGCAGTTCTTCTGCGTTCCTAGTGTTTATTATTGTTCCTAGTGTCTGGATTTCACTGCCACAAACCCCTGACAGTGTGCATTTCTTTTTCTGGTGGAATACAAAACAGGATATTTGAAGAACGTTGCGAACCGAACAACATTCAACCCCATTGACTTCCATTATATCTAAAACCCACTGCTCAAAATATCTTCTTTCATGTTCGCCAGGAGAAAGAATGTCAGTCCCACTAAAGTGTCTTTAACTAATATACATGTACCAGTCCACTATGTAACATTTAAATTGGTCATTTTATAAAATGCACTTACTGTGTACATACAAGTTTTTACACTGAACTTATATTAAAAAAATACCTGCACATAATTACAGCTGTAGTTCATTTATGTAATTACATCTATTGAGCCTTTAACTTTTAAGCCTCTCTTAAACCAATACCGGATCCACCTCAATAGCAGCAATTCAACATCAACACAATATGTACATTGTATACCTAACAATTATTATTATTATGTAAGCACATAGTAGTTAAAGACACCTAAAATATAAAGTGAGACAATGCGTTTTTGAAAGGACATGAGGGTTAGGTGGACATGACAGAACTCCTTTAATTTCACTAATGTTATGAATCCCTCATACTTTTCAGCCCCTGTCCTCCAAACACGTGACTCCGTTCTGCTAAGTATAGCCCACTTTGACAATCCAATCAATTCCCTAATGGATAAAATCCCACTGTTAGATTTTCAGAAATACATCTGTAGTTACCTAATGACATAATGTGCCCTTTTGGGTTTATTATCATTTTTTCTTACAGCACAAGCGCACATGTGCATTGGCTCACACACACACACCTGTTAGTGTGAGTGCGCTGGCCTGACTGAGCAGTAATGATATCTACTTTGATGGGTGAGCTGGATGGGCTGCACACTCTAAAGTGCCCCTGGGGGAGCCAATAGATAAATCAGTTTAAGCCCTGGACCCCATTTAAAAAGGCTTTGGCAGGTTAATGTGATATCCACTCCAATACATTATACCAGCCTCTCATTCAGGTAAATAGGCACTTACTCTGGCCTGACCCACACTCTCTGCTATCCAATTGTGTTTATTTCATTAGCTCATCCGTACAGAGTTTCCAATGACACAGGATTTCAATTGATCCTGGGCTGAAAATGACGGCTGGCATCAGGTGGCTCTGATGCGTTTAGGAAATAGAAGGTGTCTGATGTGCAATGACTTATGGGTGACGCTCAAGTGGCTCTGTGGCGATGCGGATGGATTTGGATCAGGTTGGCGTGTAGGTTTGGATTGTCGTGGCATTCCTATGGGTGACTGTGAACAGGGTTTGAAATGAACCCCTGCCAAATGCGGGTAAAAATCAACTGTGGCGGGAAACGCTGTCAAATCACGAGCCGATTTGGCGGGTTACTTATATTTGCTCACTTTGCTGGGGAAGTTCGTATAAGCCAAATCTGCACAGATTTATCACAAATACTCAACTCGTGAGTCATCATGATATATTAAATACAGCGTATTGTGCAGAATCTGCACACATGGCTTACTTGAACACACACGTCACTACGCAACAAATAACGGCACGCTTGTTCGTTTGCAAGCGAAGATTAAAAAGCATTTCATTAACAGAAAAGACATTATTATTTTCCAACATCCTACATTTTTTATGTTCATTGATCTGTCCTCCTAAAACAAACTATTGGTGATGAGGATGAAACAGGAAAGGAGGAGATGCAGGATGACAGGATTTTGTTAGAATAAGAAATGAATGTATGAAATCCAAATTTGATAATATATATTTATATTTCTAAAAGCTGTGATATAGTTAATCTGGTTAATTTAATTTTTGGCTAGTAAAAGTTCTGAATTTCCGATAACTTAAAAAAAAATTGTGAGTGAAAAAGTTCATTTCAAATCCTGATTGTCAAGGGTTCGACGACTGTTTACAACCTTAATCATTGATACTGTATGTTAGCTGCACACCTAGACAGCATTTATTGGCATTATGTCTGCCTTATACTGTACCTCATTATGGACAAAAAGGCAGCATCACATACTGTAAATCCTTTGTTCATAAGGCGATCTCACAAATTAATAGACAAACTTGAAAGTGACAACGTTAATGTTCCTCATTAACTCTTTCATTTGGGTAAAAAAATGTTTAAGGAAATGTATCATCATAAGTCGAATTGTACAAAATGATTGTACCTTTTTGATATAAGTGACCTTTATAGTGATTCAAATCAAAGACATAGAAAACATCTGTCGTTTAAAGGGGTCATATAATGGTACATGCACTTTTTCAAGTTGATTGTACTGAAATGTGTGTTGGCAGTGCCTGTACACAACCATCATAAAATGATAAAAAATCCATCCAGTGTTTTTGTTTTAATCTCCTTATATGTTTTCCCCTGCCTCAAATCGAGCCGTTCGACCATGTGACGTCACACAGTCGGAAGCCCCTCCCACGATTGTTGATTGACAGGAGTGTTTCAACACAGACCCGCCCTCGCTCATGAGCGAGCTGTCAATCATAGTCTGCGCGGACCGGCGCGGTCATTGTTGATATGCTGGAGCACTGTCTATGAGCAGAATGGCGTCTAAGCGATTGTGGTGTTCTGTTCTTGGGTGCAATAACGAACACAGCAGTCATGATGTTCCTAAATCCGAACCGCTGAAGACGCAGTGGCTGAGTTTGTTTTCGAAGGGAATATTCCCCACGAGCAACGTCAATGCTCTCATGTTTGCGCGAATCATTTCTCACCAGACTGCTTTATAAACGAGGGTCAGTCTAAAGCTGGATTTGCTAAGAAGCTGCTCATGAAAAAAGGATCGGTACCAGATATTCGTGTTCCTGCTGAATCTCCAGAAGAACTGAAGTGAGTGTAACGTGTTATTAAACTTTATATTATTATATTAATCTTTGCAAATCGCTAGCTACACGCTTCACAATGAATGCGTCTAAGGTTTACACTCAGGGTACATTACGGCATGTTTTCTATGTATGACGTTCTCAATATAATTCATAATCCCACGTTTATACTGAACAACGCGTTATGGTTATTGTGTTATTGTG